TATAAAATCAGCATTCCTAGTCTAGTATTGAGACTCCCTTGGATCCCCTTTTGTTTTATAGTACCTAATGTGGTACTATAAAGTAACTTTATACTAGTCTACTAAGAGAAGCAGAGACCAGAATCAGTGTTTTTTCTCTATTACTAGATCACCATCGTGTATTCACAAATGTTGAATAAAATCTGGAAAAAAGTTCACTGACATTACATAAGAAATTTTTTTATGTATAATGCTTAAGATGAGTGACGGAATGTTAATTCCAGCTTCTTTTTTTTCTCTCATTTATGATTCAGCACAGAATGTATCAATAAATCTAAGAAATATTCAAGACTAATTACCCTCTTTGCCTAATAAGATGGAGTTGTCTAAATACAGCTTATTTGTATTATATTTGAGAATTCAGATTACAGATTATGCATTCAATACATATTTAAAAAAACCAACAAACCAAATTCACTGCCTTGTGTTAATTTGACTAATAAGCATATAATCCTCTGTCTATGTATAACAGCAAACAAATGACAAGGAGTAAAAATCCAGCTATCCAGTAGAACACCTAAAAACTCCTTCCTTAGAAGTAATCATTAAAAAGAAATTTTAAAAAGTAATCAATTCTTTTGAAAAAGGCAATGCTAGGCAGCAGAGTAGCTGAAAATAATGATCTGTGAACTCAGACTGGCTAAGCTTTCAATTCTAATTCTGTTACCCCTAAGTTTTAACAACTACAAGGAGTTTCCTCCTTTTTAAATCAGAAATTACAATGCCTCTCCCTTAGAGGGCGACAGTGATAATTGAGATAATGTATGCAACCTGCCCGGCATAAGGCAGGTAAGGAAACTGGGTACAATTAAGTTATCAAAGGCGATGGCACCGAACAACAACAAGCATATCTATGCCATCAGGATTCCTTGCTTGGATTTTTGCTTCCTTGTTCAAGCATTATCTATATGCTTCAAGTTTAAACCACAATGAAAAATGTCTGACACTTCTGCAATGTGAAGAGCACCTGACTAATCTCACGTCTTCACAAAGAATGATTTCACTTAGTCCTGATTATTTCTCTGTTGATTATATCTTTAAAAAATGTATTTCTTAAAGACAATCTGAACTCTATTACAAAATCTCCTTAGTCTACACATTTAAATTTCAAACTAGTTTCGATTTCTTAATTAGAATATAAAAAGAAGCCAGGGCTCAGGGAAACAATCAAATTGAGAAATATACTTGGCATACCTAAATAAAGCATTTTAAGGTTTGAGGTGTGATATACATTAGCTCTTGGGTAGCTTCTATTTCATTTCCATGGCAAATTTTTCCATTTCCCTTCCCCATAAGACCCTCTCGAACAACTGTTCAGTTGCAGTAGATTCTGATTGAGGAGATTCTGACTCTAGTGATCCTGGGGGACAAAGCAGGGTTGACCCACCAGATGTGCAAGGCTCTATTCTCTGTGGGAGGGCACTGTCCTTTCTCCCATGAAGGAGTTAGCTAGCAGCCAAGAAGAGCTCAACACTGACTGGATGCAAACTCAGAAAGTTGTGCTTTCTAGCTCTAAGCATTTCTGAGTCCTTCATATTTTCCCTCAGGGCAGTTCACTCCCCATTAACTACCTGGCCATCCACCCCATCATGTCTTCTTTCAGAATGCACAGTGCTCGTGTCAAGGACTAATGAGCAGACTCAGCCCAGGCAAGCTGTAGCTGGTTCTCCTGCTCTTGTTCAAAGCAAAAGAACACTCCTTTCTGTCCATATTTTGAAATCTTCAAGTCTGCAAGTCAGTGAACATTTTAAAACGTGTAATATATTATGCTTGGTTCAGAAGACATGAAAGAATATCAATGAGCAGGGCTACTTCCTGTTTTTTATATCTCACAAAATGGAATTATTATAGTGTATTGGAAATCATATATTAAGGAATGTTGGTTAACCAGTCATGCTTGCCAAAATCAGATATGAAAAGAAAACAAAAGCTGGCAACAAATCCAACACCGACATTTCTTTTAGAATTATATTTAATAAAGTTAATCTTTGAAGAATGTGTTGTTTTCCTTACTTGATTTTAAATGAAACCCTAACACAATTTACAACTACAGAACTTATAAACCAGTATAAACTATCTTATGTAACTATTTCTATTATTTTATATTAACACCAATTTAATTTTTAAAAAACCTGTTCTCAGATTATGTCGCTACACCTTCTGTAGAGAAAAGTCACTAAGAAGTCTCCCTTCAGTGTAATAGCTTCTGAAAGGAAGTGAAAGCTGAGGGCTATATGAGGGTATAAAAGCAGCCCATGAAATAACTTTAGTTTTAAACAAAACTAACATTAACAAATACAGTATATCTTATTCTTTCATGGGGCCAGCAAAATGATAGTTTGGCCTTTTCAAGTTACCAAAATAGGATGAAGTAATTATATCTACTAAACTTACAATAGCCTGTTCAATGGAGAGTAACACTGTAATTTTTCTTCAAAGACAGTAAATAAAGGAGGAAAAGCCCTTAATTCTGTAATATAAGAAAATTTCAAAACCCTTGGGCGCCACTTACAGGCACCAAACCTTCATGGATTTCCATTACTCTGAAGAAAGGTCAGCAAGATTTAAATCTTCAATTTTTAAAATTAGTATTACCTATATCATTTATACCTCCCAAATGTATTTTTTACACTTTCAACTTCTATGCTCAAGATCAAATGGAATTCTCAAATTATAATCAAATAATTATATTCTTAAAAAATACAGTATCTTCCACAAACAGAAAAGGGTCTTTAGAGAAACTCCCACTCAAACATAAAATATATAATGCAAAATTAAATTGAGGTTTTATGAAATAGTTTCTAATTCATGTCTATTCCAAGAGATTAAAATGTATTTCACTCTAATTACCAACATATTTGGGGGTGGAGGATCACTGGAAGGGTAGGGAATTGACAATTACAAGAAATTAAATACTTCCATATTTGGGATGAACCAAAAGCATCTTGAGTAATTAAATTCATTTTAAAGGAAGAGTATGCTGACTAGTCCTCCACAATATATAACATGCAATTTACAAACTCCTCCTTAAACAAAGAGGAGGAAAAAAGAAAAACCTAAGTTATAAAATACCAACACAAGCTCCTGCATTCTGCCTTCACCTTATTTCTTATTTTATGTAAAGAGGTAACACCAATTTTATGTATTATTTTTACAACAATTGCTCTTATACTACATTCTAGCTGAATGAGATGACCAGACTTCTGACTGGTCATCTTTAAATACTTTATTGTATTTAAAAGGCTTTGTATCACGAATATAGATAAAATTATCTTCTCACATTTGGGGTTAAAGTTTTTTATTTGGAATTCACTTATATTAATTAACAGTTCGCCTACAAAGATTTTTTTTCCCAGTTGTAGAGGAGTATAATTTTTGTAAAACTAAATTACATGTACAAGTGCATGCAAAAAATTACCAGTCACAATCTCCTTTTGTTTCAATATTGCCATTCGAATTTAAGTATATGTGGGGGGGCGGGGGTAGAGAAAGTCCCAAATGAACAGTAGTTTCAAGCAAACAATCTCATACACACAAAAAGGACCCAATAATTTCAGATAATTAACCCAAATTAAAGATTTTTACTGTCAAATTCGTCGCACAAGGAACACAAGCTCGAGACACTTTTTAATATACTCAGAATAAGGGGGAGGGAATTCTACAGGGCAAAGAATAACCAATATGAAACATTTCCAGCAACTCAAAATACTCCATGAAAACTCTGTGCTTTGCATAACTGGGATTAAAAAATAATAATTATGGATGTCACAGTTAAACGGTTCCCTTTGACATAAAAAGTACTCAGTTGTCTTCAAAACAGTGTCAGGCCATGAATCGCCCCGCACACTTGGGAGTCGGTTAGCAGCTCGGGGCAGAGCGGGCCCCGGCCCCGTGGCCCCTGGAATCCGGCCGTCGGCGGGCGGCCCGCGCAGCTGCGCTGAGCAGGAAGCACCGCACCCGCGCCGCGCTCCGCGCACCACGCCGGAGGGACTGCGGGGAGCAGCCACTGCCGCTTTGAAACTGAATGGCTGACACATCCGGTCCTGGCTCTTACACAAACTTCAAAGACCAAATTCAAACTCCAAACCCAAGTCACTGGAGCCGCAGCTGAGCAGTTCGCACGCCCATGCACACTCGGAGTCCTTTGGGGGACGGGGAGACGGGGGATGCAATTTGGAAAATCCGCAATCCTAAAAGATTTGCAAGTTCCACGAGACTGCAGCCCGTCCGCCCGCACGGCTTTGACAGGCGTTACCGAGTAGTCAGTCCCCCGGGATCCTGCCGCCGCCGGGGCTTGGGGCGCGCCACTGGCTGCCCAGCCTAGTCCCCCCACTACCTGCCTCCGGATTCGACCTCCAGACCGGCCCCAAGGGCTTGGCCGGTCACCGCTGCGGGGACCTCGCCGCGTCCTCTTCTGTCCTCTCGCCCCCACTCCAACCTCCAGCAGGGGCTCCCCAGCCACCCCGCCCCTCTCCCGATCACCGCCTGCCGGCCAGCTCTGACCTCGCCTCCCGCCCCCGAGACTCCTGTCCTGGAGCGCCGCCGCCGAGCTGCTCCCCGCCTCCTCGGTCTGGGCCTGAGATGCCCTGAGGGTAGCGCCAGGACCTCGCACCTGGGATCCCCTCGGATTCCGAGAGACCCCCAGGGGTAGCCGTGTATGTGGGGAGGACCCATACCTTTCAGCAAGCAGCCCCACAGCATGGTTGGCACGCCTGTCACATGTCTACAAACAATAATAAACTCGCCGGCACGCCCCGGCCCCGAGACCCCTTCCAGCACCCCAAGCTGAGCCCGGGGAGCCGCCCGACGCTGGGTGGAGGAGTGAGAGGGAAGTGTCCAGGGGTTCGAAAGTTCGGATCCCGGCAAGCGGCGCATAGCCTTCCTGCACGTAGCCCCACGACGCCGTGCGCGGTGTCCAGGGTTCATTCATTGCCCTCTGCATCCCTGACCACGCTACTCACCCAGTGGGGGCGGCTGCAGGAGACGGTTCGCCGGAGGGCGTCCGCTTCTCCCCGGGCTCGGCCCCCGCGGGGCTCGGGGCGCCGCTGTCCGAAGCGGCCACCGTCTCAGCAGGGTGGGCGCCGCCGCGGCTCGCGACTCCGTGAGGCGGCGGCACCGCCAGGGACTGGAAACCGCTCCCGTTCGCCGCCAAGTCCGCGGGCTCCGGCGACGGGGAAGTGGAGGAAGACGGCGGAGAGGCGGCTAGGAAGAGCTGCGGCTCCGGCAGCTGGTCCAGCTCCACACTCCGCACTTTGCGCAGCTGCCGCCGCCGCCAGTCAGCTCGCTCGCGGCCCCCACTGCCCGCCTCCCGCAGGAGTCCCGCGGCCGCCGTGGGCGCACTGCTGGCCTGCGGAGTCTCGCCGCCGCCGCCCGTCTCGGGGCTCGCCGCCCCGGCGCCCGGGAAGCCCGACGACGAGGCGCGATTCCCCGCCGCCGCCGCCATTTTCTCTCGCGGGCTACATTCGCTCGGCCCCAGCGAGGGAGGGAGGAGGCGGGGAGAGCGCAGGGGGCGGGCGGAGCGGCGGGCGCTGCGCCGCTAGCGTAGGGCCTCCTACGCCAACTGCGTGAGGGCGGCTGGCGGGGCCAGGCCCTGGGCTGACGGGCGGGCGGGGGCGCGGAATTCCGCCGCAGGCGCAGGGCTGGCCGACGGGGCGGGGGCGCTGCAGGTCCGAGGGCTGTGCGGTCGGCCGGGCGGACGTGGCCGCCGCGGGGCTGCCTGGACTCTGCGCGCCGCGCTGGCCGCGCCGCCAGGTAGTCCCGGGCCGCACTGGCCAGAGGAGGAGCCTGGGCGGCGGCATCGTGCAGCTTCCTCTCCGCTGCAATCTCGGCCCGGCCCGCCGCCAGCTCACTCTACTGTGGTTGCAACTTCCCAAAGAAATAATTGGTTGGAACGTGTGTCTCTGTGTGCGTTTGTGTGGTGCGTGGAAGAGGACGCAGGAGAGAAGGTTTGCGATCTGTCATTCTCACTGCTCTTTGCAGTGGCGCCTGGCGACCCGGGGCGCAGGCCAGCACCCCTGCCCCCTCCCACTCCGCGCGGGGCGCGCAGGTGGCGCCAGGGGTGTCGCCTGCTGCAAAGCCAGAGAAACCCAACGTTCAGCAGACGTGCTGCTTTGCACAAATACGTTAGAAAAGTTTTTTTAAAAAGCTTTCCTTTTTGTCCCATACTTCTCGTGCTACCAGTAACAAAACTTCAGTTTCCTGGAATACCTTGTTCACCTCCTGGAGTCACTGATTTTCAGACACCCCCACTCCCACCACTGCTTGGTCAGACAGAAATAAAGATGTCCCGAGGATCTTTTTATAGCAGCTCTGCCTTTGGAAGGAGCCCTGGACCCGATAGGGCACATTTGGGGAAGGAAGCAACTCTGTGCAGGAAGTTCTCCATTAAGTCACCGTCAGCCTGGCCGGGCCCTGCTCGAACCCGCCGCTCCGCACTGCGCGCCCCTCTGCCCGGCGGGATCTGGCGACAGTCCCGGTCCCTGCACCGCCACCTCCAGCCCCTGCAGTCCCGGGTAGCTAAATGCTACGGGCCTGAACCCCTCGATTCTTAGGGAGCCGCTTGATGGGTCTGGCCACCATAAAGCACCTCTGAGGAATCTACAAGCAGGGCGCTTTGACATGGAAGAAGCACCATTTACACAGGACTAATTTTTCACCTTTCTTCAGTTGAATTGAGTTGCCTGGCGTTTCTCAGCCTTCTTATCCTTAATCGGGTTTGTCTGTGCTGGGAAGTCTCCCAGAAGACAGGAGCTGCGTCCCTAGATTTATTTTCAGAAATATGAAATGTTTATTTACTTAAGGAGGGGGCGGGGCTTCTCACGCAGAGAGAGGAGAGACTCTTGTCAGGCTTCGTAATATTTAGACAATAGCCTGAGCTATCTGTATGATAATTCCTTTGACTTCTTGAGAGCAGAGACGACTGAAGACCGCTTTTCAGGTATAGCTGTTACCGAGGAGCAAAGTGGTGCTGGAGGGAGTTTTATTTAAGAGTCTTGATTTAATGTTTGTTTTTTGTTATTAATACAACACCTGCTATCCATTAGTTCTAGAAAGGTAACTTACGTTCTACGGTGCAAACTTTGAAAGTTTGAGTAAATCTGTTAAAATTTTAAGTCTACATTTAGCCTGTAACTATATGGTCTTTTAATGATAGCCAAGGGTGTAATCCAAACCAAACAGTAGTTACTTCCCAAGTCTTCCCGGATTGCCACACCCACCAAATCCTAAATTGAAAGGGCAAGCTTTCCTGTTTAGATCTTAACACCTTTAAATTTACACACAGAGAGACACACACATACACACGGTCAGGTAGCAGGTGAGAAAATTCAGTGGAGTCAGGAGCATTTTAAAATTGCAACAAATCTTTAATGTAGTCAGAGTAGTTACACAAAGTCGTTAAAACAGTTTCAGCAAAGCTTTATCTTTGCATATTTATTTGCACAAAAGAGTGGAAATCTGGGGTGGAATACAAAATGGATAATAAAAGCAACAATAACAGCTGGATAGATTGACAACAGTGATGACAACAATAGTCATAAGTATGGTGGAGATTGAGGATGGACAAGGTTTGCATCTGTTCTTTCTTGGGTCCCTATGAATCCTACTGTTGTGTACCTTCAAAAGTTGGTCTGACTCCTAGCAATAAATTTCAAGAAAGAGGAGATCGTCCTTCTCCCACAGAGCAGCTGATGGATTAGAACCAAGTGCCTTTAGGGTTGCTGTGCTGCTTCTGAGCACTAGGCCACCAGAGCTCCCCTATTAGTCCTAGTCATTAGCAATAACAATACATGCTCTGAGCTCTAGTATCCAACATATAACACTGTTAGAAACCTATGTGCTGCATAGTTTTTGACAGTTTAAGTCATTTCCCCTTATATGTAAATATTTGAGTTGTCATTAAGCATTCATCCACCCGCCAACTGATTCTCTCCTTTCCCTCCTCCCCCGAGAAAAGTAATCAAAGGACATGCTTGACAGAAAAGGTTGTTCTCTGTTGGCTGTGTGTTAACATAAAGTCTTCTTTGAGGAGAATCCAAATGCAAGGAATTAGTTTCTGAGTCTTAAGTATGGATAAGACGTAAGCTCCTAATTTTGGTGCTGTTGTTATCATTTTTTTATTTCTGCACAGAGAAATGTGTCAAATGTCAAACTAATATAAACTGAGTTTCTTTAATTGGATTTCCTTTAATGATGTAAAGGAGGCTTGAATCTCTTCAAAAGTTGCTTTTGTCACTGATAACGTCTGTTACAAAACAACTATGAAATATCATCTCACAGCAGTAAGAATAGGAAAATTTAACAGAACAACAAACAGCTGGTGAGGGTGGGGAGGAACTGGAACACTTATTCACTGTTAGTGGGAGTGTAAAATGGTGCAACCACTATGGAAGGCTGTACTGCGCTTTCTCAAAAAGTTGGAAATAGCAATAGCATTTGATCCAGCAATTCCACTACTGGGAATATACTCGAAAGAAACTAGAACTGCCACTCAAGCAGATATATGCATGCTCATGTTTATCGCGCCTTTGTCTCAATACCAAAGAGCTGGAAACAACCCAAGTGTCAATCAACAAACGAATGGATAGAGAAGCTCTGGTATATTCACACAATGTCATAATACTATGCAGCATTGAAAAATAAGCAACTCATGAAATATTATACAAAATGTGTGACCCTGGATGACATTATACTGAGTGAAATATCTCAGTCACAAAAGGACAAATATTGCATAGGGTCACTGTTGTAAAACAGGACTGATACTGGGGCTGAGGGAAGACAGAGAAAGAAGGGAGGGATGATGTATATTGCATTGAAACAGATGAGGGAGAGAACTGTTTAAAAGTGATATATGACTGGGTATTCTTGTTATTACAGAAGTTCAGAGTGAAGGCTGCACAGTGGAGTGGCCTTGGGAAGGACTGCATAACAATAGAAGAGTTTTTCTTTTACTTTTCAAGGAGATGAGTGAATTGGGGGAGGGGGCGTGCAGGGAGAAAAGTGCAACAGTAAATGACTGGAAACCCTAAGTCTTTGTAAACTTAGATTAAAATTAAAAAAATAAAAGAGAACATCTATTACAGTTTCTAAACTCTTTCTTTTCATTTTCACTGGTGGATGTAAACCTTGCAGTGATTTTGTTTATGCCGTGACAATTTCTGCAGTCTTTTCTTGAGTGCTTCACAGATCACTGCTCACACATAGTGCTTCTGGGAATCACCTAAGTCACACTTCATTTCCCACATCACAGTCACTCGGAGGAACCAGTTTAACATTGGTGCACTTCCTTCTTGGGCACAAATATCACTGATGTTATAATGAAGAGACTTAATACTCAGTGGCAGAAATAGTTCATCCTATGGCCTAGTGGCAAGAATCTGTGTTGTTATCCTGAAAGCACACAGTTCAAGGACACCAGTTGCTCTGCAGCTAAAGGATGGACAATCTCCTCCCATGTGATTAATTGACTCTCAGAACTCACCGGAGGGTCAGCTGTGGGTCTGTTCTGACTACAGTACACGACAGCAACATATACCACCTATTATCTATTTCTTTGCTGTTATTGTTATATGACTATCAAGTCACAACCTACTCATAGCTGACCCTCCAGCAAGTTTTCAACAGCTATAAATTGCACAGAAGGAATTGTCTTATCTTTCTTCCATAGAGCAGCTGGTGGATTCAAACCAGGTGCCTTTGGTTGGCAGCACTACTTCTTACCCACTACATCACCATGTTGTTGTTGTTGTTAGGTACTATTGAATCAAGTATAACTCATAGCAACCCTATGAACAATAGATCTGAACCCTGTCCTATCCTATGCCATCCTCATCATCTCTGACACACTTATTGCTGCAGTCACCAAGTCACCATAGCACCTACTATTTGTATGCAAAGAGTTTTCTCTTTTTCTAGGGACATCATTTGTTGTTTTTCATAGTTACATAACATAAATATTCCCATCTATAGTCTTTTTATTAGTGTGTATTTACTGGGCTGACTCTGATAAAATTTAGGATCCCTTTGAGTACATATATGTACTACTGACTGTGTGAGATCTACCTCTTAGTTGGTCATAAAAAGTAACAGTGGAACCTTGAAAGCAGGGCATGAGTTGGCGTTCTGCCAGTCTTTGTAAATGTTTATTAGAGAGCAGGAGAACTGGGGCTAGAACTTGATTTCCTCCAAATTCTTTATAGACACGATATTTGTCAGGTGTTTCCAAATGTCCCAGGCAAGAAACTTTACCATCTGTAGAGAATGATTCCACTGCATGACACAGTGGGTGAATGATTGTAGAAAGTTTTTCTCAAACCAGCCTCCACTTAACTCATCAGTAAAAGTTCCTTGTCATTGTCAGTGTCTGATGTGTTGAAGGATGTTACCTCACCACAAAGGCTCATGGCCAGTGATTGGTGTCAGCTACCCACTTCTGCTCCCACCAGG